AAAAAAAAAAAAAAAAAAAAAAGATAGGCCAGTCTGCTTTTCTCTGCGTTGTTAGTGATGAGAATAAGAAATCTCCACATAAAAATAATACAGTTGCTAACAAAGAGACTTGTAGTAAATATCCCAGAACAAAAGTGGCACTGAAATTTTAGTAGGAATTATAAGAAAGTGACAATGCATTCTTAGACTTTTTTCAGAAATGATAGAATACCTTTATATTAAAATGGACTTGAGGAAACCAAGTAAAATATTTTGATAAAATCTACTAAGTAATGGTGAGTCCTTGATTAGTTACTGTACTGGAAGAAAATAACACAACATAGATTTTTAAAAATTGGCCTTGGCTCCCAGAGACAGGTGGTGAGAGACACATTTACACCCGTCTCTGGGCCTGGTCTCCCTTCTCTTCTGGCTTCTTCTCTTTCTACCAGCCTGCAGCTTAACAGGTGGACAGAGCAGGTGGGGGGTTACCCCAGATGTAAAGACTTAGAATTTATTTTAAACAGAGAAGGGGAGGAACCTTCAACTGGTGGTAGTCAGGACACTTGAGCTCTGCTCACCTGTCTCCAAGTGCTATGTGATCTCACACAAGTACTCAGCCTTTTAGACCTTAGTTTCCTCATCTTTAAAAGGGGTTTAGTGATCAAAGATCCATCCTCTTGCAGCCCAAAGTGCTTCTTTGCTGCCAGAACTGGAAGAAACTCATGGATTTTGCCCATGTGCCTTGTTTTCGTACATCACCCAAACTCCTTATAATCAGCATAGCAAGCTTTTCTGAGGGACTGAATTGAGCATCCATTTATTGAGAACCTATTATGTGCAGTGTATATGATCGTGACACGTCCTGGCTTCCCAGTGGCTCACACACTAGACGGGGTGGCAGGCATACCCCCATGTCACTAAATGTGAGATGGATTATGATGTGCACTTAACAGAAGTATAATCGAAATGTAGGGGAAAGGCAGAGCAAGAGGAGGTTAATTCCATTAGGAAGGAGATCTAGGAAGGCCTCGTTTCTTTTTAAATAAATTTGTTAGATGGTTTATGCATTCATTCAACCAGTCTTTCCTGAGTATCTTTATGCAGCAGGACAGTAATTCTCAACTCTGGCTCACTGAAGAATTGCCTCATATTGAGTCAGAATCCTTGAGATTAGTACTGGGTGTGTGGAGGGGAATGTAGAATCTCTGTGATTAAAAGTGTGCCTCACCAATTATACCTCAATTAAAAAAAAAGACACATGAAGAATCAGTTACCAATTCATGGCACTTAGTAGACATTCAATAAATACTTGCTGGCACAAGGGACAAAAACAGTGCCTCAGAAGGAAAACAGGATTGATAGTCAACCTGCTAGTCCTGGAATAGAAATGCTAACATTTAAGACATTTCTTCTGATCTCTGAGAACTTGCAGAGGATGTTAAAAAAAAATGTACACAGAGAGTTTTCTACAAGGCAGAACTTTGAGAACAGTACAGACCAAATGCTATCAGGTTATAAAGGAGAAGGAAGGTACTCTGGAATGTTTTATGGAGGAGGTGGCATTTTCATGGGGGCCCAGAGGGGAGGGGATTGGATTGTGATAGTTAATGGAGGGGAGGGATGGGAGGTGAGAAGGCAGGGGGTGCTGTCAGGTTCTAAAAGAGCAGCCTTGGGGAAAAGTGGGTGCCAAGGCTGAGAGTCTGAGGGGGACTGTGGAAACCAAGCTAAGGAATTTGGGCTCAGTTGGAAGGCAGTGGGGAGCTTTTGCAAGTCATTCACAGGAATTAGCACAGTTGACTGTAGAATGATGACTCTGGCTGCAGACCAGAGTTTTAATCATTTATCTCTGATGAGTCAGCAAATTCTCTGTCCAAAGTCACTCTAAACTGGTAAGTTTGGAACTAATCAAACTATGAATTTGTAAATAAGGTGACAAAGTATAACATGGTCACACAAAGGCTATCTGGTTTGCCCAAGACTGTCCTGGTTTTAGTGCTGAAAATCCTACACTGTGGGAAACCTCTTAGTTCCAGGCATCCAGGAGAGCTTGTCACCTTAACCTCCAGGGAAGTGGCACTGAAGATAATATTTTTAAGGCAGCTGTTTTGAGTAAAGGATATCCCTTTATATCCTTGGAGAAGAATCCATTCCCCACTGACCTCAGTGTAACCCCTGTGGAAGAATCCATTCCCCGTTGACCTTACAGAGGTAGCCCTTGGAACACTAAGTGTTACTGTTATCGAACCAGGTTGGTTTGCCCTATGCACAGCAAGCGAAATGCTGAAGTGCAGAGAAAGTTTATTCACAACGCAGCCAAGTAAGGAGATGGGAGAACAAGTCTCAGATCCACCTCCCCAAAGGCAAGGGGCTTGAGATATTTATGGGATAAAGAAGCAGGGTGGTCTTAGGCATGAGGAAATGTGATTGGAGGTAGAGAAAAGGTGAAGTAATCGGTACTTTGCCCAGGCATATCTGGGTTACATGCTTCTTCATGGGATGCATGTTCAAAAATGGAGGTACTTAGCATGATCTGAGGGTGTAGTTTTTGGCCCTCTGAAGTCAAAAAATTGTTCATCAGATAACTGTGCAGACACAGTTTTAGGGTTAGTTATCCCAACCAGTCTTAGCCAGCTTGAACTAGACAGGATCCAACTCCACGTTCTTGTAAAACAACTTAAGCCCACCATTACTATAGTAACCTGTGATGTCAGAGGCTTTATCTATAGGGGCGGTTAAGAAGTCTTGTGATATATTACCCTAGGCTATGTGAAGCTTGGAGGGTATGCAAATAAAGAAAGGAAAAAAGAATAAAAACAACTAAAGCAAGCTTAATCAGTAAAGGCAGTTTGTAAGAAGAGGACTTTTTAACAAGCTGCTTCCTTATCGTCTGTAAGTCAAGCTGAAGAATTTCTGGTAGTCAACCATAAGGGGCGTAGTTTCACTACCAGTGCTTAGGCTCTGCCTCACTCACCGTTCTTTTCACATGAGCCACTGGGACCAGTCTCCCTCTGCTCAGATCACAGAAGTGCATGAGAAATACCTTTTGAGTTTCTGCTGACTTAATACTGAAATCAGCAAGGGCCAAGTTTGCAAGGATGAGATGGGAGGCAAGTTTTGGAGTGAGAATCAGCCCAAGGTTTTAATGGAGGAAGTGGAAAACCCTTTTAACTAGCAGCGTGGGAAATGGTAGTCCCAAATGTGGGAGAAACACTCTCAAGCCGGTTCCCTAGCTCCAGTGTCCGGATAGAGTCACATCCCTTCAGCATCCATCCTCAATTCAGCATCCATCCGCAGTCGTCCCACTGCACAAGGAGAAGGCCATAATCAAGGCAGAGCACTGCTCTTGCCTGTTGACTCATCATTCTCAGAGGACTTCAAATATAGTGTTGATTGTATATAGTAAGGGTAACAAGTGTACGGATAATTCTGGCACTGGTTACTCAAGACCAATGAAAAAACATTTGCAGTGTCCATTTGGTGGCTATTTTTAAATGCCAGTTTTATTTATAGCTTCAAAATATTTCTATTCCTTCATCTTAAAAATTCTTAGACGAGTGTAGAAATGATGTGCCTGGCCTTTTCTTAAACATGGGCAGTGGTTTAGGTGATTCGTTCGTTTGCTGTGAGTCATTTTCCTGGGTTGGTAATGGATTTGTGTAGATCCAGTCATTCTCTTGGTCTTGTCTCCCTGGAAACCAGAGTGTACATGCTCGTTACAGGGAGCCAGGATGGGTGGCCTGGATGTGGGTCCCAAACCGAGCAAAGGGGCAACTGCACAGGGACTCATTAGTGTGGTGGCCATAACAACAACTGGATTGATTCTCACATGTTTCTGTCCTTTCCAGTGTTTACTGTATATTAGTTAAAGAGAACGATTTTATCCAAATTGCTAAAATTTTTAGGCATTTTAAGAAAACAATATCTGTGCTTTTCATAATCAAACTGCAAATTCTGCCTCAACTTAAGAATTGGTACTCACTTCCCTCCCCAAAATGAATGAATGAATGGATGAATTCAATCACTCAAGAAATATGTATTAAATTCCTACTGTATTCAAAGCTCTGAGATGAGCTATTAGCCCAAGAGGCTCAGTCCCTATTTCAGTCTAGGAGGAGAGACGGACATTAACCAAATAATGACAAAATGTCCACTGGGGGAAGTGCCATGAATGAGGGGTGAATGGATTCCAAGTGCATGAAATAGGGAAGCCGACTCTTTCTACAGCAGGGGTCCCCAACGCCCCTGGGCCATGGACTGGTACCAGTCTGTGGCATGTTAGGAACCGGGCCGCACAGCAGGAGGTGAGAGGTGGGCGAGCAAGCGAAGCTTCATCTGCCGCTCCCCGTCGCTCCCATTACCGCCTGAACTCCCCCCCGCCCCACCCCGGTGCCAAAAAGTGTCTTCCACAAAACCGGTCCCTGGTACCAAAAAGGTTGGGGACCACTGCTCTACAGGAAGGGGCTCAGGAAGGATCTTCCTGAGAAATCAGTAACTGAATTGAGCTCTGAAAGTGGATAGGACTCAACATGAGTGGGGATGGGGCTTGGGGGTGGCAGCATTCTACCCGAGGGAGCAGTGCTGGCAAGTGCCTATGGAAGGGAGAAAATGCAGCCTGTTTGAGGAACTGAAAGACACTGAAAGATCTGTGGTTAAGTTTGGGTCTGGGTGGCCTAAAGTAAATGACACATAAAATACCCCGTGGTAGAAAACAGTTGGGATTAAATTTTGTATTAAAAATTTGGGGGTTACATGTTTTAAAAGTAAAAGCAGGATTTGTTCTTTAGAGAAATATCTAAAATACACAGTAAAGTACAAAGAAGAAAAGAGTCACACACCCTGACACACACCACTTTTAACATCTTGGTTGTTTTTATTCCCAGTGCTTTTCCTATACCTAGGTTTAATAAAGACATTGAAACCATGCTATGCACACTGTTTTGCATGTTGCTGCTTTTTTTTCTCACCTTTAAGTTATAAATATCAACACTTACTGTTATGTACTCTAAGTGTCCTTTTTATCAGCTGCATAATACTCCACCCTGTTTACTCTGTTGAGCAGGTTCCACCCTGGGTCCCAGTCCATGTGGAAGAAGATCCACGAAAGGGTCTGCAGTCGTCTGACGTCCCACAGATCTCAGCAACACCTAAGCAAGGTCAGGGCTTCTGATGGAATTAGATCTTTGCTGACAAAATAATATGGGAACTGGGTCTCAGTCTAGCAGCGGAGACAGACATTAATCAGGTAACCACAGAAACAAATGTAAAATTGTGATGCTCACCAAGGAGGTTACATGGTATCTTGAGAGTGTATGAAAAGGAGTATTGGACTTGGTTGGCAGTCAGGGCAGGCTTCCCTGAGGAAGAGACAGTGGAGCTTCAATCTGAGTGATGAGTAGCAGCTACTTTGGAGAACAGCACGCATCAAGCAGAGGTCCTACAGCAAGAGGGAGCGTGGTCCTGTCAAAGAACTTAGAGAAGACAGTGTAACTGGCCTGAAGCACATTTCCTTCTGCTCTGGACAGGAATCCCTGTCCAGGGAAGAATCTAGGGACATGTGTGGTATGCATGAGCTCACAACATGGAAAAAAGTTTTCCTCAAAGTTAATAAGGTGTTTTTCACTGTTTGACTTTTATGGGGGTAAGGGGAGTGTTTCTGATCCATAGATAGATAAACCCAGCACTTTGTCTACTGCAGATGTATAGCCATTAGCTGTGACCTGTCACCAGTTCAAAAAAATTCAAATAGAAGGTTGACAGTGCCCCCTCTGGTTGGATTTAACTATACCATGTAGTTGAATTGGTCATCTTGACTTATTTAAATGCTGGCATTTAAATGAATTATTTAAATGAATATTGATTCCCCTCATCACCAGCGTCGTGGATTACTTTATGGCCTGTCTGTAAAGTCATTTGCTTTGCCTTGTTAATTCGTCGTAGTTTTTTCAAGTAAGGGAATCCCTTTAAAATGTAAAAAGAAGAAAAGGAAGAAAGGGAAGAGGGAGGGGGCTTGGGAGAGAAGAAGGAAGAGGAAAGAAAGAAAGAGCGATAAAGGGAAGGAGGGAGGGGGAGAAAAGAAATAGTATCTATATACACACATGTATCATGAACACAATATATACGGCATATATGGGATTCATAGACCTCTTAAATGCAAAACTACACATCCAGCTATCCTTGATCTGTATTACATTATGAGTAATGCAATTGCTGGATTTGTTTTTGTTATATAGGAAGACTCCATCTCTGAAGTAAAGAATATCCTTGAAAGACCAAGCTACCCTTTGAAGAAATATCCGGTGCACAAACAGAGATATTTTTAAACTGCTGTCCTATGTAAGTAAGCAGCTTAAGTGCTTCTTGTTGATTTGCTCAAATAATTTCAGCTTCCTGCTACAATATAAAGTACCTAGAAAATGTGGCAGACAGGAGTCAAGGAGGAGATAAGAGCCACATTCTTCCTTCAGACGGCACATATGCGGGTCTGCCAGCAGTCTTGCCTCTTGTATGCTCCCCCTACCCCCTTACCTAATGGTCCCTCTTTCAGCTCCTCAAACACAAGCTCCTTCTGGCTGTGGGGCCTTTGCCTGTGCTCTCTGACTGGAATACTTCTTCCTGACCCTGTATGGGTCACTTCTCTTTACCTTTCGGGTCTCATGACTTTCCATGACACCCCCTCCCGCTCTGAGGTACACCTTTTTAGCCCTCTGCAGTTTTCTTTCATAAAGTATGACACAGTTTGTTGTTATATTTTTATGTGGGTTGATTGCTTAAAAGTCTGCTCCTTCTACTTGAATGACACCTTCCCGAGGTCAGGGACTCTGCCGTCCTGCTCACTATTTTACAGCCAGAATTACAGTGGGATCCCATTCAACTTAGGTGAACTGAACCACACATGCCAGGTGTGTGCCCTGAACAAGAGCCTTCCTTCCCCCCCCCACCCTGTCACCACCCTTGCATCAGATGACCTTCCACTGTGGTTGGTGCTCAGTAAATATTTTTTTGTGGGAGGCTGTTGAATGAGGTGATGAGGCAACTCTTGAATTCAGGTGTGTGGTAAGAAGTTTGACATTTTGAGGGCTGTCGTCATTTCTCAGGTTTTCTCTTCTTTCCCTTCCTACCCAGGCCCAGCATAAGAATAGCTCTTCCTTATTAAGTGATTCCTGAGTGCCAGGAACTGGCCCAAATACTTCACTTGTATTAAATGAACTAATATTTAATTATCACAACAACTCTGTGAAGTAGGTACTATCACCAGTTCCATTTCACAGATAGGGAAACTGAGGCAAGGAGAGGTTAAGTGCCTTGCTCAAGGTAACATGGCTAGTGAATGGCCCAGCTGCAGTCTGAAGCCAGGTGATCTGGCTTTTAACCATTACATTCCATTGTTCTCCAAAACTGGAGTGTGTGATAGGAGAACCCTGGGGAGAAAGAGCAGAGCCCTTTGGAACCTAAGCAGAGTCGGTGGACATTGCCCTTGAACATCCCCCAGAGGGTCCTATGGTGTTGTATCATGTAGTCCCTCATTCTAGCAACATCAAGATAATTAACGAATCTTTTTAAACAATAAAGGAGTGTGGGATGATATGCTAGGTTTTTACTGTCCTCAGGCTCCTGAAATTCTGGTTTGAGGGTCATTCATGCTTTAGGGCACACATTGCCTTGCCCAGGGCTGGCCAGGATTTCCCGCCTTCAGCACAGAGGAATGTGGAAGACAACTCAGTAATTTTCCATTTTGCAGGCTTCTACCTTAGAACGTTCTGCTTGGTAGATTAAAGGATGGCTTCTGGGCCACATAATCTCCGGTTGCCAAAATAGTCATCTAGGCATTTATTAGGTGTTTATACGGAACACAGCCCACTTAATTACCACTTAGGGAACGTGGCCCATGTAATTACCAAATGCCAAATTGTGTTGAATTTCAACATGGCTAACATCAAGTTACATAAAGCCCTGAACCGGCAGATACGTGGACCCTGACGTGAGGAGATAGAGAGAAGGTAGGAAAAAAAATTCCGTCTTAGTAAATAGGTTTCCTTTGTAACATGAGTTCCCACTCAGTGGTTTGGAATATGCTCATAGGCCTTCTATGAAAGCTCTCCATACCATTCTCTTCCTGTCCCAATTTGGGTCATGGATTTCTGGTGAGGCAGGGGTCCTGGAGGACTGTCAGTGAAAGTTTTCATGGTTGTAAAGAACCCAGGTGACTTTGACTCATCTTAAGCAAACAGGGCATTTAGTAGAATGAAGCTGTCTCAGTGAATCCAGGGAAGATCCAAACAAGCAAGGTCAAGCAGCTAAAACGGGACCGTCATGCCTATGGGCTGGGTAGGCAGCAACAGAGAGGAGCCTTCGGCAGAAGACCCAGTGAGTTTCCACTCCATGTCCCCTGCCCTGCTTTTCTCAAGGACTCTCCTGCTTATAGCACCAGCGCTTGTCCTTCCCTTCTGCACTTCTGCTCTTTCACTGTTCATCATCTTTCCCTCTCCTGGTTTCCTGGTGATCTCAAGATTCAGGGGAAATGAAAAAGTAGATTCTTAGCACTTAGGGATTAAGTTAGGGATGCTTGGACCAGAAACAATGAGTCCAATTGTCTGACCAGGGAATGTGTGGAAGAGATGGGTCGAAGGGGTTGGAATACACCTGTTTCTCCTTAGGATGGTTTGGGCCTTGATACTTTTGGTGTAAAACAGATGATCCTTTGTATACTTTAAGATGGTGAATTTTAGGTTATATGAATTTTACCATTAAAAAAGTCCCATAAGCGTGCACACACAAACACACACGTGACACACACACACACACGTTATCCCTAGTTCTCCTGTGAGGTGTGATTGCCTCGGTCCTTATCAAGAGCTGATTGCCCACATCTGGTGTGTGCTCACTGAGATTCCACTTTCAAGGTTGTGCTTACAAGGCCTCCTCTGTGAAACCTGCTGGTCCCTCAGGCAGACTCAGGCCTTCTGCCTTCTGCCCCTCCACATGCCTCCACTAAGGACTTCATTCCTTCAGACTTGTATTGTAGTTGGTTTTCCTCATGAAAACTCTCCCAAGAAGAGGGCAGAGGACTGGAGGGAGGTTTCTGCAAAGGGATGGGAGACTGAGCAGATGGCACCAGCTCTGGCCCACCGACCCTCCCATCCCTGTGAGCAGCTCCCATGATCCCAGCTGCCGCCGCCATGGCCAGCCTGCAGCGGGACCTGGTCCACTTGTAATGCTCCCAACTTGAGGGAGGGCAAAGAACCCAGGCCCAGACGTGCTCAGACACAGACAAGAACTGTAGCACAAAAACTTTTCTAAAATTAAAGAATAGCAAAAAGGAAATAAACCAAGAAAAGGAAAGGAAAAGGACAACAGTGAATTAAAATGCCGGTTTCTGATTCTGTCATAGCTCCTTAGGCCTCCAGCTCCAAAGGGAGGGGCTGCTATGGCTTCCAACCTTACCGTGTCTGCTGGGCAGGCAGGAGCCATTTTACTTCCTCCCACGGGGCCCCTTCACCTCCCTTACAACCAAAGCAAAAAGCAAACCAGCCTACAGATGCCAAGCTCCAACCTCGAGGCCCTCCCTCTCTGATTTGCTCACCAGCTTCGGAGGGATTTGTCATTTGATGGTTTGTGGTGATTGACACATGGATAATGACACACCTCCCTTCATCCCAGGGGCTCCTGGTCCTGTCAGAGTCTAACAGACAGACCACACAGGCAGTGGCCATACACCCAAATCACATGGCAAATTCCTGGGTCAGCAATCCTCAGTGAGCATTAGAATCACCTGGGGGTGCTGAAAAATACTGATGCCCAGGCCACACTCTGGACCAACTTAATTGGAATCTCTGTGGGTGGTGCCTGGCATCGGTATTTCTATAAAGGTTCTTCAGGAGATTCTAATGCACATTTAGCACTGAGAATCTCTGCAGTAGGCTGCAAATGTCTTGAGAATGGGGGACTCAGAACACCCGCAAATCCTATACGGACCCCCTCCACTCTCAAAAATAATTGTTCCATGGAATAGAATTGATTTGGGCATGTTTAACAGTTCAGCTCAATAACACCTAGCAGTTTCTGCACATTTACTATGTGCCAAGGACTGTACTAGCTCCTCAGAGTAACACTAAGAGGTAGATACTTGGCTTGTCATCATCCGGATAGTATACAAAGAGGCCAGGTAACTTGCCCAAGGTCACACAAGTGCTTGTATTGCTAACCTAACATTGCCTCATTCCTACACATAGAGCTACATGCCAAGATTTGGATAGAGGGAAACCATCTTCTCCTTGGTTGTGTTTATTGATGGGCTTTTTCTCAGTACCACATGTAGTGTATGAAGTGTCTTCACATTTCACAGGGGAGACTGAATGAAAGCTGGAGGAGCATCATGAAGAGCTCACTCATCAAGCCAACTGAACAACAGTTTTCGTTCTGTGTATCAAATCACCAGTGTCTAACCCCCATTAAATCAAACCAGTACCCACCCAGTCTTTTGTACCCAGGTAAGAGTCATTGATTAAAGTGTTTGCTGTTTGGGGCTCAAGTTTTCTTGTCAAGCTGGAAAATTTGTGTTTTAGTTTGTTTGTATGCTTGTTTTGAGCTTGAAAACGAAAATATTAGTTGGGTGGCCAGTGCTTTTTCATTTGGAAAGCACTTCTAAAAATTCTGATGAGAAGGTGTCAAGATGCCTTTTCAGGTGTTCCTCATTTTGGGCAGTGGATGTGTTCTTGAAAAGTTCTTTTCTTTCCCTCCTTCCTCATTTTTTCCTCCTTCCCGCTTGTCCTCACCCCTCCCCCACCTCTACCTATTTCCCTTCCCTTCCCTTCCTTTTCCTTCCCGTCCCTTCCTGTCCCTTCCCGTTCCTTCCCTTTCCTCTTACATTTTCCATGAGCTCGAGGAAGCTGCTATCTAGAGGAATAAACTGATATATCCTCTAGAAAAAGACTGTCACCCTGATTTTCCATTTTTGGTAAATCTGTTTTTTTGTGGTTGTTTGTTTGCTTTTTAGTGTTAGGCTTGATTTACATGATATCAACTGAAAACCTAGGAAGAGGGAGCATTACTTCTGGAGAATTCAGGTCTTGCTTTAAAGGTTTAATTTCTATGCTACATTTGTAAGAGGAGGCTAATTTCTTTTGTTTGTTGTTTAAACCACTCCTTCTGTCACCTACCCCTCCTTTTTCCCAACAATTCTTAAATAAATTTATATGAGGAACAAAACCTTCAAACATTTCTCTGAAATAACTACACTAAGTTTGGCAGAAATGACTGCCAAAACCAGATTTAAAATTAGTAGAAGGGTGCCTTTATGAAGTGCTTACCCAGTTTGAGGAAC